TATAGATTGTATAAAAAAACATGATTTTTAATATGATTTAGATTGTTTCAGCCAATATAAGAATCTGGTCACTCGGTGGTACAGAATAAACACTGCTGGACTGTTTTATTACTTTGTCATTTAGCAAAAAATCTTTTAATTAAAATATTTATCCTTTGGACTTTGCTCTATACTTTGTTTATAGTTAAAATATCTAGAAAATAGCAATAAAAAAATCTTAATTTTTTTGTGTGAGCACTGAAAATAACTGTAGAAGGAAAGAAGAAATTTAGGGAGAAAAGTAAGCAAAAATTTGAAGGGAAATTTGGCTGTCAGATATACCAAGATGTTTAAAAAAGTTGGACGGTTTTGAGTATACTTTCAGGATACTTTAAAGAATTTAGGTGTTCAAAGAGAAAACACTTGGACATGTACACCAGCAAATACCATCAATTCAGCTTGTATAAACAGAAAAAACAAAAACAATATCATTGCAGATTAAAGTGAAGAGTGACTGGTTTTAGACTGGTAGTTCAGTCCGAGGTTCGAATCCCATGAACTGGCTGGCTGCATAGGCGTTTTGGTGGTTTTTGCCATGTGTAACATGTATACAAACTAGTTTTCCATAGAAAGTCCTCCACGAAGGCATCCCTCCCTTTAGGCAGATAGCCCTAGTGTGCTTTGCCATAATTAAATAAACCAAAACCTCCTGATGAAACCAGCTTTTCCTTTCATCTCATCCTTCAAAATGCTACCTCTAAAGATTGATAAAGGCTCTGACTTAAATACTGCTGAGATTGAATTGGATTATTAAGTTACGGCAAAGCAGGGCTATCTGCCTAAAAGAAAGGATGCCTTAATGAAGAACTTTCTAAGGAAACCTAGCTGGCATACACGTTACACATGAGAAAATCCATGAAAAACGCCCATGCAACCAGCCCGTTTACCGGGATTCGAACCCCGGAGTGAACTACCAGTGTTCAGCGACTTTATTGCTCAGCCATTTGTGGGCCTTTATGAAATGGAAGGCGATAATTTTATTTAAAATGATTGTTAGAAATACCAAGATGTTTTGAAAAGTTGGATGCTTTGTAATATACTTGCAGAGTGCCTGAAGAAAATGAGCAAGAATAAAGCAGAATGCCTGAAGAAAAACTGATTAAAGCAGTGTATGCAAGTCATTTTAAGTTAAAATGTCGGTTATACATCTCTCTTATTTATATATCTTTTCTTAACAGAACATTGAAAGGCGTGTTAAGTGTGCTTTACTGTATTTTCTCTTTTAATATATGCAGTTTTCAAATGCATCGTAGTCTGAGTGGCAAAGTATTCTTCCGAAAGAAACCCAATTAAAAAAATAAAAACAAATTCTGGAAAATTTATATTAATAAATATATTTAAAATGCTCAGTTTGAATGAATAAATAGAAAATTTTAAAATAATTATCTGAAGAGACAATGCAACACTAGCAATTAAAATAAAAGTCTGAAAATGTAAAAATTACCTAAACTATGACTAAAAATGCAGTATAAAGAAAACTATTTGAAAAAAAAATAAACGATGCACCTTTAATTTAAACTACGCAGTTCGAATGAGTAAATAGAAATTTTTAAAACAGTTATTCGAAAGAAACTATGCAACGTAAACAATTAAAATGAAATTCGAAAGAGAAAAAATTGCTTAAAATAATTAACAATTATAATTAAAAATATAAAGCATATTATTTGAAAGAATTGATTGAGTCTTTTTTTCCTCTCACGCACTATGTAAAAATGGAAATGAAAATAGGTTGCCACATATTAAGTCTGCCAAGTGAACTAATTTTGGCGCAAACTGAATAAAAAGCACCAACATAAATTGTTGAATTTCTTCATAAATTTCACACCAAGTTTTACAAAATTTAATATTTAGGCATAATTTGAGTCGTAGAATCGAAATATGTAAAAAAATTGGTATGTTATTTCAGAAAAAGTCCGATTTTGTGTCAAAATACCTATGTTAGAATAGTGCTATATATAAATCTAATATATATCCTAAGTCGCGCTTTTGAGACATGAAGAACGCAATTTGAATTTCGTGAATCGGCCCAGTAGAACGGGAGATATAGAACTGTCCCCCCTTTTTTTTGAGCAGTGTACATATTATTTTCTGTTTAAGTTACTTCGCCACAAATGGTGGTTAAATTGTGAGCACCGAGTGATTGTATTTCTGTTTCATTTAGTTTAAAAATACAAAAGTTACTATAACCTTCTCCATTCTTTCAAGACCTAGAGAGAATCCGCTACTTCATCTTTCAGTAGGTTCTACCAGTTTATGTTCCCAAAATGGACTAGAAGACTCTACAATATAAGCAATATAAAAGCAATGCAAAGTGTTATAGAACCCCACATAGTAACCATAAAAGACCCTATATTAAAAAAAAAAAAAAAAAAGAGGGGGGGATAAAAAAAAGGATTCGAAGGGATATCAAAAACAAGTGTTTATATCACTTGGTGAGTTAAAGAGCTGAGCTCTGTTTTTTTACATTACACTCCTCCCCCCACAACAGCTAACATCAGCGTTATGCAGAATTTGATCAACTTGAAAGTTAGAATACTAAAACTGTATTCAATTCAAAGGTAATGGGCACAAGACACCATATAGTGGCCTTTAAAATGTTCCAAGTCACTGGACAAATGTGTGACAGCTGGGGGTGAACGAGAAAGAGTTCTGGCTTGCCAATGTGTGGGCCAGGCAATGAGTGCGTTTCTTGCTGACATGTATACATGATAGTCAGTGCAAATGGGTTAATTAATTACCTGCCATATTTGTATAAGACAGAAATTGCAATGTTTGTATTTTTATAATACACTGATTAATTAACTGCCATATTGTGAATATACAATAAGACTTCAATTGCTTGAACTTCAGTTAGTCTGAATGATTGCTGCAATTAAAATTTCAAAGGTCTTTCAAGAGAAATAATATTCAAATAAATGAAATCAAATTATATATATATATATGCTTAAAGTATACGCTGTGAATTAATAAATATAAATTTTTTAAAATAACTATTTGAGCTGTAATTCAACTATGCAAACTCAAATAATTAAAATGAAATGCTCTGTCTATACATATATCTAAAAGTAAGAACTGTGATTGAAAAATATAATATGAAGTAAAAATATATTCAAGAAAATGGAAAAAAAAAAAAAATTTTTTTTCCACTTTTGCAGAATGAAAGTTGCAAGGAAATAGGTTGCCGTTAACTGAGAAGTTTGCCTAGTGAATTATTCTTAGCACCAATGCAAATTTCCAAATTACTGATTAAGTTTCACACCAAATTTTACAAAATTTGGCTTTTAGCCATAATTTGAGTCATAGAAGTGAAATGTGGAAAAAATTGGCATATAATTTCAGGAAAGCCGATTTTGTGTCAAAATACGTATATTAAAGCAGAGCTACATATAAATCTAATAAATAACCTAAGTCACACTTTCAAAACAGGAAAAACATGGGTTGAATTTCTTCAATCAGTAGAGTAGACCAGGAGATACAGAACTGTGGTGTCCCCCCCTCCCCGACTGTGTGTGAATGAAATTTTATTTTGTTGAAATTTTTATTCATCAATAGAAGAATTTAATGTTAAACGAGCTTATTGTGAAACATTTAAGGATGAAGTGCAATCTTAATTAAAATTGGAGGGTTTTGACTTGTATCTAAAAGCTGTTTGTTTATAAACTCATGTCCAGTTGCATAACATAAACCTCTTATTCAAGTAACAAACCTGTAATGACATAAACAAGTTAAGTAATAAATAACATAAACCTTTGCATGTAAGTGACCTAATGTCAGAATTATACAAATTTGTTGCTAATCTTCAATTCTATTATTTGATAACGAATTGGAAAATTAGAAATGCAAAAAGTAAGAGTGGTGTATAATCAGTACTTCTATATTATCCCACTGACCATGAAACTGTTGCCAGGCAGTGCAATAGTACCAATTATGGATATGTAGGATGTAATTAACACACTTGTGACATGTAGGCTTTTTTTTTTTTTATGTAACCCGATCAATTCTTGCTAAGTTACTTTGTTTTTGTTGTTGTTGTGAAAAAGGATATAAATTGCTTGTTACTACTGTAGTTTTTTCCTTGTACTTTTTTTTGGGGGGGGGGGAGATTCAAATTTGGAATTAATTTTCTGTAGAACAACAGGCAGTGGATCATTGTCAAAATTACAGGATCCTGTCATTAAAAAGAAAGTGTATTAATGAACACGATATGGTCAGCTGAATGTGGCTGACAGAATATTAGTACATTAGAACCTCTAATTTTGTAACTGTAACCTGTCGAAGGTTTGTACTTTCAACATTCTAGACAGAATTTCCTTTAAACTCGAAGGGCTTAGCAAAATAATAGAAATCGACAGAAGCCCATATATGAAGCTCAGAAATGAAGTGGGTTGAATACTGACTGATTGTTATATAAAGAGGTGTTTGTTCCTTCAGAATTCCGCATACTAATTAATGGGCTTTACTTCGATGGAATCTTTGCCAACTTTAATGGTTCAGTGTTAGTAAACTTTCATGGTTGATTGGATAATACATAAGTACCATATAATAAGTTTGAAGGACATGTGAGATTTAAAATTTATTTGTTCATAAATGCAGCAAAGGTTTGCTCGAGTTTAGTTGCATAACATCTTATTTAATCAGCAAAAGAAATCTAATAAATTGAATGGTAAATTTGTAATTATTTTTCAAGCAAGTTATTTGATATTTACTTATAGAAATGAATGCAAAAATTGTTCTTTTAATTCAGACATTTTCTCATCTATATTGTTTGTTTGAGTATCTTCCATAACAAACTGCAAATATATTTCTCTTATACTTACATAAATGAAACATATATGAAATAAAAGTGTGAATATAGTGAATTCATGTGAAATGAAATTTCATTAAATGATTTTGTACCTTTATACTGTTTTTAAGTTGATTTTAGAGATTGATTTCTTAATTCAATATGTTCATAATTTTAGGATGGTTTTATCTCTGCTCTTCCATATTTGTTTCAAGCTTTAGTCAGCTGGGGAATAAGTTATGTTGCTGATTTAGCCCGACAAAGACAGTACTGTAGTATAAGTGTGATTCGTAAAGTATGTAATACTGTTGGTAAGTTTTTAGCATATTTATTAATCCAACAACTAATTTTAACTTCTTTAACTCGCGAGCGCACACGCTGGATCCAATGGACCCACCCGATTAAAGAAACCTTTCTGAAAATGCCCCTATCCTTCCTAAGTGATTGTGATTAAGTGTAGTCTTCTCCAAGGCCATTCTCTTTATGTTTCTGGAGTTTTTTGCCGGAAATTTTATTCGAAGTTTTTTTTTAATTAGATCAGGTCTTTCAGACCCAGCGTGCACCTATTCGCATTGCTGTAATTTGTGATAGTACAGAAAATTGCAAACATATCACATAATTTATCCTGTAAGGAAGAAATGCTACGTTTGCAAAAATTATTTGATGTATCAACTGTTGAAGACTCCATTGAAGAAACTGATGATGAAAGTTATAATGAATTTTTTAGTTCTCATGACACTGATTCAGAAATCGAGATGCATTCTGAAAATGAAAATGAGAATGACATTTATTACTTTATTGGAAAAGACAAAAAAAAAAAAAAAAAACCTCCAATTGTAAAAGAAAGTCTAAAGCTGATGTTAGAATTCCTGCTCATAATATTATTACTAAATTGCCTGGAAACATTGGTAAGGCAAAATATGTGTAGACTCCAAATGAATCGTGGTAACTTTTACTAAGTGAACAAATATTGCTGAAAGTCATCAGTTATACAAATATTTAAATTCCATCTATTTCTGAGAGCTTTCAAAGAGAGAGAGATGATCATAACACAACTCTAACTAAAATTCGCACTTTCATAGGTCTTTCTTATTTTTGTGACTTAAGTCATCTCATGTAAATGTGCGGGATCTGCTGGCAATAGACGGAACTGGCTTGGAAATTTTCCACAAAACTGTTTCCTACAAATGTTTTCTTTTTTTATAAAGATGTTTGCGTTTTGATGACATAGAAACTCGCGTCGTCAAGAACGAATGAGAAAAACTTGCTCCTATAAGAGAGTTTTTTGAATATTTTGTGAATAACTGCCAGAAATATTACACTGTTAGTGAGTTCATAACAATTAATGAAAAACTTGAAGCCTTCTGAGGAAGATGTTCTTTCAGGTAGTATATTCCTGATAAACCTGAATAATAATATAATAAATTCCTAATAAATTCTATATTAATATGTTTTTTCTATTCCTTTAAAATTTTTATTTTCATATAGAATATTATAGAAATTGAAATTAAAATTTTAATTTTTATAGTTTATTTATAGCATAGCATATTTTTAAAGCATTTTATAGCAATTTATAGCATATTTTTTAAGTTTGATCATAAAATTTTGCCATAAATGTAACACTTTTAAATGAAGAGTAACAGTTTTTTTCTTCAAAAAAGAGGGCGCGCGCTCCCAGGTTAACGTAGAAAAATATCATTATACTCCACTTTTTTCCCTCTGAAAAATATTAAGAATCCTTAAATTATTTTTTACTTTGAATGAACCATCTGTTGTGTTGGCAGCATATACTATATAAGATATATTCAGCTTTTTAAAAGAAGCTGAATATATGTTATTAAATTTAATAATATGAAACTACTGTAATCTCTACATATAATAAAAGAAAGAGTCTGTGTGTGTGTCTTTCGTTAGCGCTGCGCGTAAAGCTAATAGACCCACGGCTACGAAATTTGGTACATAAGTGCATCTAGACGAGAGCCAATGCACCTCGAAGCGATTTTTTTCAAAATTCGAATTAGAATTTTTTTTATTTTATGTTTTGTGACAAAATCGCATCATTTTGAGACATAATGGGCTATAGGAAAGCAAGATTTTACTCTACACACTCCATTTTCACATCGTCGTGAAACGTAGGCACTTGGCTATTTTACGAACTTAAAATAAATTTCGTGTCTCAATAAATCGATTAAATACGAATTTATTTAACAAAAGGAGCATAACACCTTTTCAATGGGATTTTTTCTAAAAAAGTTTACTTTTAAAAATGTACAGTTTATTTTCTTTGATTTTCGGACATGTTAAACTTTCATTCTTATGACTGCTTTCACAAAAAGAATTTTGGAAAAATGGTAATATTTTGTATTTTTAAAGAATTTTTTAAATGAAGCTTCCAAGTACACTTCTCACATCTTTAAAAATGTGATTTTGGTAGCAATTTTCCTGTCTTATTGTTGTTGATAGATTTTTGATGAAATCGCATCATTTTGAATAGTTTTCATTCTTTTAGAAATATGAGTTTGGCAACAATTTTTCATCGTATTTCTTATGTCACTGTTTTTAAGAGATTGGCATATTTCATTGTCATGTTTATATATATATATATATATAATACATTTTTATTTTTATTTATTTTTTTTTAATATATATATATATAAAGTTGTTCTGCAGAGTAAAATTCTGCGTGGAATTTTATGTTTTTTGAGTTGCTTTCATGTTATTTTTTGCTTATTTCACTGTTTGTAAGATATTGAAAAGTTTTGCATGATTTTTTTTTTCTTCAACGGAAAGTTGGTTAATTTTTTTTATTAGGATAATTAATATTTGTATTAAGGGATATAGCTTATTTCATTGTAATTTTTTTCTTTTGAAAATATAAGATAAAATATCATTAATTATACTTTGCTTTTCAGAATTTTTTGTTTTTTTTGTATTTTTTTATGTTATTTATTGCTCATTTCACTGTTTTTAAGATATTGAAAAGTTTTGAGTGATTTTTTTTAGGAAAGAAAGTTTTTAACCTCCTTTATACCATTTGAGTTGTTAAGATTTTGCAAAGGGAAGTTGGTTAATTTATTTATTAGGTTAATTAATATTTGTATTAAAGGATATTGCTTATTTCATTGTAATTTTGTTATACATAATAAACTTTTTTTATAAAATTGTTCTGCAGAGTAAAATTTTATGCAGTTTTTAAATTTAACGTTTGGTGTTCCCTTCAACCATTTTTCCGGTAGAAGCTGGTAGTTAGTAAATAAATGAATTAAGAGCAATCATTGACTGATGCTCTTAAGCACAGTAGGATCTGGAAATTCACGGTTTTTTTTTTTTTTTTTCCTTTTGGAAGCTGTGAGTCGAATCCCACTATTATGAAGATGAAATTTAAGTCCGTTGTTATGACTTTGAAAGTGAAGCATGGAGTGGAAACAGCTAAGATTCCATGTAAAAAGGAAGACTTGGTAGTGCATTTGGGATTGTAAAAACTGTTCAAAACAGTCTTATCAATGGGAATCAAGTAGCTTTAGACACGTACACTGTGCCAAAAAAAGGGGGGGACAGTTATATATCTCTCGTTCTACTGGGTCGATTGACGAAATTCAACTTGCGTATTTCATGTCTCGAAAGTGCGACTTTTTTATATATAGTATTGTTCTAATATAGGTATTTTGACGCACAATTGCACTTTTTCTGAAATAACATACTATTTTTTTCCACATTTTGATTCTACGGCTCAAATTACACCAAACTACCAAGTTTTGTAAAAATTGCATGAGTAGTTTTTAAAAAATTAGCTCTCAAAATTTTAGCTTCTCATGGTTAATTGAGTTTGATATTTATTTATAATTTTTATTTATATTAAATCTCTCTTTTTCTGTTAAACTTATTTCATTCTTCCTTTTACATTTCAAAATTTAAGTTCATTCCAAATAAAATTCATCTGATTTTTATGATTTATTTTTAAAATTTTCATTTTAAAATAATTTTTGTAAATTTTTCAAAAAAATTTTTGAATTAAAAATCTGTAAAATTTTTGCCATCATCTTAAATTAGATGTATTTCTACGCATACGTGCAAAAAATTGTAGTTTTTTATTCAAAATTTCTGAAGATATACATGAATTTATATATTGTGTGTTTTGAAAATTGGCATATTTGTTCAAAGCGATAAAACATCAAACGATGTGACTTTTTTCAACACCTCCTAGAACTAACTCGAGGCCACGGCGCATTTTCCAGGAGGAGGTGTGACGTCAGTATCAGTAGGGATTGTATTTCATTTAACTCTCCCCACCCAGGACTGTGGTGGGTGGATTTCCGGAGTTTTGACGGTCACTTGGTCAGAAATCGTCCATAAGAACAGTCGACATTTTCTTTCTTTTTTCAGATATTTCTATATTATAAGTATTCCACTTTATTATTTGTTTTTCAAATTTTTGATATGGTTTACACATGCTGTGTACCTAACTGTAAAGGGAACTATCCAAATGGTCCAAAAGTACAGGTTTTCTCTTTTCCGAAAGAGAAAGAATTCTTAAATAAATGGATAAAGGCGATTCATACAAGCAATTTCAAGCCAAAAAAATTTTCGAAGGTAAGTTGCATTTTTTTTTTTTTTTTTTTTTTTACTTGAATAAGTTTTATACTTATCTGTGCTTTAAAAAGTGCTTCTGTGTTAAGTATGTTATAATTATCATAAACTAAAGCGAGTACATACATTTATAGAAAGTAAACATATTTAATCTTATTGTAAGTCTAATAGTGATTATATAAGTATGATGACTTAATCATACTATTAATTTAATTTATGGCAGATAGTACTGTTTATCATCATGCTAATCGTTCAATCTATAGCAGATGGCATTCTTTATCGTCATGCTAGTCAATTTGTAGTAAATAGCATCATTTACCAAGTTAAGTAAATTAAACAAATGTGTGACTTAAAAGTAGGATTAGATTAAATGTAGGATTAATAAAAATTCAAAATGGTAAATACATTTTGTATGTTTGCAAAATGCTTGCATTTAAATATCTCGATACATTTGTCACAGGAACAGCGTATTTATTAAAATCCGAAGACCTTGAAAAATCTTGATAATATCTCTGTAACTAATATCAATTTGTTTCTGATGTTAATGCGAAAAAATACGCTATTTAAATTTTTGTGAGTTCATGCCTGATATTCTTAAAATTCACTTAATATAACATAAATCATTAAATATGAAGTTTTACGAAATCTTGTATTTAATTCTAGTTTAGATAATTAAATCCAATTATAACAATCTTTGCATGCAAGTGTTTCATATTTTTTGTAAGTAAATAATTAAATTTATGCAACACTTTATTTGACAAAAGAATTTTCAAATAATTAGACATTATTCTTCAAAACTAGTACCTGTTTCACTTTATACAATTAATAGATAAGTATGATTTTCTTTCTATTAGTCATGAATAAACATTAACTTATGTTATTTAGTAGAATAAACAAACCAAAATATGAATTTTTACCTGCTACAGGGAATGTATGCATTTCTATATATTTGCACGTATTAAAATTTACGAAATTCTGAGTTTCATTTATTTTTTGTCAAAGGTATTCATTATGTATTCCCTCTTCATTTACTTGTATAGTGCAATATCAATGCAACTTTTCTATGTGTATATGTTAAAGTTCATGAAATTTTTTTATTGTGTTTTGATTTTTAAATTTAATTACTTCATATATATATATATATATATATGTTAAAAATCCTAAAATTCTCTTTCTTCACCCCAAATATATTATTTTAAATTGTATATTTTGTATAGCAGTATGTCAAAGCAATTTTTTTTTTTTTGCAAAGAAATCGAATATATTGTCATACATATATACGCATGCATATACATACGTATGGAAATAAAAATGTATGGCATGATATTTCATAAAGACTACAATTTAAATTCTTCCTAAAGATAGAAATGTAGTCTTTATGAAATATTATGCCATACATTTTTATTTGATGAAATGCAGTCTGTGATAAAAAAAAAAAGCAATATTTATCGTTTATCATTAGCAATATTTGAATAATTCTGAATTGACTGCAAAGACAATTTCGATGATTTTCTTCTTTTCCTCTATTGGAACAATCCTTCTTCTTTTTAGTTGACTGATTGAAAATAAGCATATACATATTATCTAAAGTATTTATGTATAAATTGTTTCGAATTGTAATGTATAATTTAGTGCATCCTAAGGGCATTATATGTTAGTAATTTTATTCGGCAGTAATAATGCAATGATAGTTGTGTTTTTCATTTGTTGTGTTCAATATCCCAGTTTAGGATTGTTACATTTGCCTTCCACACAATACTGCTAAATCATGTTATAAAATTCCCTGTAAAGATCAGAGGTTAGCTATTTAGATCTATATCAGACCTCTATCAGAGATTTGATATTTGCCATTTAAAATGCAAAATAATATGCAATTCTCTCTGTGCAACCTAATGTCTCAAATAATTATAAAAACTTATTTAAATCGTTGCAAGCTTAGCGTTATTTGTTTCAAACATGAGTATTTATTATCATTCGGCAACATATGTCAAAAATAAGATATATTACTTATACTTATCAAAGATGTTTATTAGTCAAGGCATAAATTGTTGTAAGTATAATTAATACGACCCTTGACCAATAAACATCTCTGGTTAATTATATTTGTTTTCAACTAATGATTTTATGTTGCTACATGATTCCAGGTAAATTAGCTTCATAATTTAAATCAGTTAGAATTTATCTCAATTTTTTAGGATCTATATCCTGCCTTCATGTCTTAAATTGTCTGTCTGTTTAATTATTGCATACAAATAAAATTCCGATTCATTAAGTGTGAAGTTTCTTTCGTTAACAAGAGTTTCTCAGCGATTAAATTTGGTAAAATCAGTAATGATAACTTTTAATGACATTAAAAATTCTAGTTATTTGTATCGAAAACATTCTAAAAATAAAAATCTCAGTTCTTCACATTCTAGTAAAAACAAGGTATTTTCCAGATTTTATAAACGATGAGAATTAAATATAAAAATTTAAGTTCAGTTTATTTATAAGCCTATCAAATGGATATTTAAGAAGGCACCCTCAAAGTTGGCGAGGACAAAAGTATCCCTACTGCAGTGACGTCACGAACTGCGCGCTGTGGCCTTGAGTTAGTTCTAGGAGGTGTTGCTTTTTTCCGCTCATGCATAATGTAAAAAAGTAGGAACAAGGTGCCCTTTTTTCCACTCTGGCATAATGGAAGGGAAAGGAAAATTGGTTGCCACATATTAAGAAGTTCGCCAAGTGAATTATTCTTGGCAAAAACTGAAAAAGTTGTGCCAAGATAAATTTTTGAATTTCTCCGTAAATTTCGCACCTAATTTTACAAAATTTAATATCTAGGCATAATTTGAGTCGTAGAATCGAAGTGGAAAAAATTGGTATGTTATTTCAGAAAAAGTTCGATTTTGTGTCAAAATACCTATGTTAGAACAATGCTATATATAAATATAATATATATCCTAAGCCGCGCTTTTGAGAAATGAAAAATGCAATTTGAATTTTGACATTTGGCCCAGAAGAACAGGAGATATAAAACTGTCTTTTTTTTCTTTTTTTCACAATGTACATTAAATGTTTTAAGCAACTGGGGGAATTCTTAAATGGGATTGTTTTTAATTCCATATCTCTTAGTATCTTTAATATATGGCAACGAATGGCCTTTCTTTTTGATTAATTCCTATGTACAGAGTTGAGTGACATTAATATGATCATCTCTTACCTTTGATACCAGCACTTAAACAACCAATGACATAAGGGATATGTCAGCAGCTGATTTGGTTGGTAAGTATGTAAAGTGTATTGTAAGCATTTGGAGAACATTTCAGGTATTGTTACCATGAATAAACAGAATAATTTAGCAGATTTACAGAAAGAAATAATTATTTGCATTCAACCCAAGGGTAGCAACATTTCAGAAACTGTATAGTTTGTGAACTGCTCATGCTGTTGTGATGAAAGTGTATCATTCATGGCAGAATGGCACTGTACAAAATAAGCAGTGTGGAAGCTGCAGAGTACTATGACCCATAGATGAAAGAAGTGAATGACAGCTACGATTGTACATTTGGGCCAACTGACATAGTAGAGTAGCTTACTGCCCAAATGAAACAGAGGGCTATCATAATAGTGTCCAGAATGACAAGTTTAGTGAATTTTCTATATACAAGGCTTTACAGCTGATGGATGGACATGCTGATGACTGTCAGTCTGCAAAGAAATTTTATATGGCAATGAATGGCCTTTCTTTTTGATTAATTCGTATGTACAGAGTTGAGTGACATTAATGTGATCATCTCTTACCTTTAATACCAGCACTTAAACAATTAGTGACATAAGGGATATGTCAGCAGCTAATTTGGTAAGTATGTAAAGTGTATTGTAAGCATTTGGGGAACATTTTAGTCATTGTTATCATGAATAAACAGAGTAATTTAACAGATTTACAGAAAGAAATGATTATTTGCATTTAAACCAAGGGTAGCAACATTTCAGACACTTATTGTTGTGTTGAAAGTATATCATTCATGACAGAATGGCACTGTACAAAATAAGCAGTGTGGAAGCTGCAGAGTACTATGACCCATAGATGAAAGAAATGAATAACAGCTACAATAGTACATTTGGGCCAACTGACATACTACAGTAGAGTAGCTTACCGTCCAGATGAAACAGAGGGCTACCATAAAATTGTGACCAGAATGACAGTTTGGTGAACCTTCTATATACGAGGCTTTGCAGCTGATGGATGGACATGCTGATGTGCAGTGACATTTTACCACTCATGGTACACTTTCGTCATGCTATTCGAATTGTGGACCTCCATTGATTGGTAAAAAGATTAATTTTCCTGATGAATCTTTTTTTTTTTTTTTTTTTTGCTTTATCAGAATGCCTTCTGTTGATGTGTTACATCCCAAGTCTAAACAAGTAGCTGAGTGTTCAAAAGGAACAATGCATTCAGCGCATAACAGAATAAAATCTTAAAATTCATTCTCTCAAATGGTCATTAACTCATTCGCGGAAGATGCTGAAGGACAATAAAATAGGAAATTGATTCAATCTTTTTTAATAACTAGATATTTCAAGAATTGTGTTACAAAATTGTAAAATAACATGTAATGAATTTGTATGACATATTACCTGTATATTTATTTATATATATAAACACACATTTAATAGCAAAACATTATACAAAAAGTAGTTATTGTAAATACAAAAATATGAATCTTTGCAAATATTGTTTTTTTGTTAGGCTTTAGTTTGAGCCAAAATTTAATTTAACTCAAGATGTAGTGCAGTTCTTTTTTGCTTTGTTTTATGACTGTGGAAAAATGTATGTATGTATATCATAAACCATCTTTTTTCCTATTTGTTTTAACAGTGTGGTACATTATTGCACTCTTTTACACTGCGTTTTATTTCCTTAGGATTTTTTGGACCAGCCCTTTGTCTCTTTGGAGTTATATTTGCTGCATGCGATCATGTGTGGAGTGTAGTATTTCTGACAATGGCAATGGCTTTCAATGGATGTACGTACTCAGGTTACATGGTTACACATGTCGATATGTCCCCTGAATTTGCTGGTGAGTGTTATTAAATAATAAAATTATTCATATGTTAAGTTTGTATTTTGTTATATAAGTTATTTATATGCATTATTTTTGTTTTAAATTTAATATTTTTATTCAGATTACATTTTTCTTTACATTCATGCACAGGAACCTTGATGGGAATGACAAATGCTTTTGCTACGACTGCTGGATTCCTAGCTCCAAAAGCTGTTGGTGCATTAACACAAAATAATGTAAGTTAAGCTTAATAAATGTTGTTGATTGCATTATTAACTTGGTGAATATTTCCAGTAGTGTGTGTTTATAATGTTTGCATTTAATGTTCAATGCATACATAAAACTTATGCAACATTCTGATAATGCTAATAGTTTGGAAACTAATAGCATAGGTTCAAATTGAATCAACAGCATCAGTTGGTTAAATAGAAAACTTTTTGTTTAAATGTTAAATGTTAAGAAGTTTTTATTGGGAGGGGAGAGGGGGTGCCTGTATAAAATGGAATAACATTTTTTCTGCATTTCTTAGAATAACTCTTTTCTATTGTATATTTTTACGTAATATTCAATTTAGAAACCTCATCTGGTGATCAAGCTCTTTTTTAAAAATTTCCCTCAATAGTAACGACACCAGTTATTACATTTACTATAAATTACATTATTGTATAATAAGGAAAAAACAATTGAATTCTTTACTAGATTAGTACGAAAGTATGTACAAAATATTGGAAAAATGAAAGGAGACTTTCATTTGAGCATTTTACCACTGTATAATAGTATTATTATTATTGGAATCAAGTGTCTCACTTGCATTATAATTTTTGACAAAAATCCAAGCTTTCCTGGAATTAATTATTTAAGAAAACTTGTGCATTTTATGGGATAGCATGGGTTTTGGCTTTATAAGAATAAAAAGTATATTCTGCATAAATGTGTTAAACCTTCCCATCACTAATCAGATTTGATGCAAGATCCAACTATGAATTTAACATATATGAGACTTTGAAAGCTGAGCTTGTACGAAATATGAGCTGTTTTGTAATTTGTTTTAAAAAAGGATAATACAATTATTATGACTGTTTTTTAACACAAAATGTTGCCTACATTGACTGGTAAACAGTAATAAAGGTAAATAAATTTTTTCAATAAAAACAATTCTTAAAAAATTGTGAACAATCTGATAGTGATTTATTAAACAAAATTATGTTTTTCTAACTACTTTTTGATGATATGGAATGATGCTGCAGTACTTGCAGTTTAATGCAGGTTTACTTGGAAGGTGTCGAGTTATTTGGATTAAATCCAAAAAGAAGACTTGATACTTTAAATTTTCATTAGAAGTCATAAATCCAAAATTAATTTCTCCATCAGGTTGATTATCTAAATTCTAATTTCCCTACATGAACGCATATTTTTCGAAATCTCGTAAAGGAAAAATCCGTAAATCAGGATATTAAACATGAAATAAATCTCAGTGACAAATTTAGTATCAGAAATTGCAGATTTAGCTAGAACCTCACTATCTGGAGAAGTTATTTCTTTGCTTGGTGTAACACTAGCTCAAGTAGTACAGAGATATACGTGGATGCTTTCCAAGAATCAGTTGCATGTTTTTATATGTTGTTCAAATATAAGCTAGAATTTTATGCAGTACTTAAGATTCTTACAGTTCATTAAATGTTTTCCTGTATGGTAAAATGCCCCACCAGTTGTTGAGCCCTTAAGAGCACTGAATATCGAAAATTTAACCTCGATTGGATCCCAGGCAAACAAGCTGACTGCATGGCTGGTTTTCATGGTTTCCCCATGTTTAGTATGAATATGAGCCAGTTTCCTTTAGAAAGTCCTCTATGAAGGTATTCTTTTTGCTAAGCAGATATCCGTTTTGTGTTTTGCTGCATCCAAATAACCTAATGTAATTTATATGATAAAACATTGAAGCTTGTTTCCATTTTTATGATACAAAATCAAATTTTTTAGAAAAATTTTATTGTATTCCTAGTTTTAAACATGGAAAATAATGAAACTTTTGAAAAAAATTAAAAAATTTTATTGAAATAAAAGCGCATTGCCTCTCTAAAGAAGCAGCACATTGGCATTATAATTATTTTTGATGTATTAAAGTACATTTTTACCCCTTTGTTACCCCAGAAATGATCAGAAACAATTATAGAAAAATAGGATGCAAGATAACAGCAGTAATACAGTGTAAAATTTAGATATGCATGATTTATTTTATATTAAAAATATAACATGCATTTATTAAAATATATATTTGATACTTGTATACTGTAGTTGTATGTTTTCCTCTTCTTGTATAGCAAACATTGGAACAATGGAGAATTGTATTTTACATAGCAATTTCAGTATACTTTGCTACTGGTATTTTGTTTATTCTTTGTGGATCAGCAAAATTGCAAAAGTGGGGTACAACCAATTTACTATCTCAGAATGTTGAAAAGAGAGAGAAGAAAAATAGTGATGTTGATGAACCATGATTTTCCTGTTTCTAAAGTAATCTTTTATCTCATGGTGACAATTGTTATTTTTCTTGTATTTAATGCTTTTAAAACAAAATATGAATTGACTATACTTAAAAATATCTACCATAAATAAAGAAAATTTTATTGCATTCCAAATTATTTGGGATCAAATGTTAATTCACATTGTTATTAATTTATTTTTAACCAAAGTTTGTTTTTAAAACTCATTTTTATATCTATTTTAGTTCAATAATCTCTTATTCCAGTGAAATGTATTATGCTAAAAAACAGCTTAATATATTGATGTTTTTATATGTGTTATATATAATTTATATTTATATTTATGACATCCTGTTTTTGTTCCTCCCTTTTTAAGGGAACTGTGTGATAATGTTGATATAAAATAAAGTAAGTGTTTAAAATTTATGTTGCAGTCTTATAAATTTACATCAGTTAACAATTTCTTTTGAAAAAATTACATGCACTTGATCAACAACCTATTACTAAAAATTTTATTTATTATTAATAAATCTTTTGTTAAAAATGTGATTGAAAAAATATAGCAAACCTTGGTATATTTTTCAAGCAAATAATTTTTAATATTCTTTAAAAAGTTGAAGATTATTTGCATTGTATTCTACTTATTTTAGTAGGCCCGGTGGTGCAGTGGCTAGTGCGTCGCGCAGCAGCACCGCTGGTCCATAGTTTGATCCCCGGGCTGAGTGAGGTTGACTCGGCCTTTCATCCCTTGGGTGGGACGATAAAATGAGTATCAAGTTTGCTTGGGGACTAAACACCAGGGGTCCTGCGAAAAGCTGACCACTTGTTCATGCAGCCTGGGGCCCATTGTCAAGAAAGCAAGATATCAGGGCACTGCAGGCGATGGCTCTCTAAGAGCTGTTGTTGCACCACTGAATTAAGTTTATTTTTTATAGTTCTGCAGATAGCAGATTGTACTTGTATTAATAACCTTACTGTTCCATCATGTCCACCAAGTTTAAATGTTAAAAAGTTGAATACTTGAAGAAAATAACTTTATACAGTTCATTAATAAACAAATAAAGAGATAAAATGTAAAAATTAGCACAATGAAGCAAAACATTTTTAAATTCCTGATTGCAGTTCTTTTGGAATTGGGAAATTGTAGCAGTTGCTGAAAAGAAGCCTGGCTTTAATTCTGTTCCTGTCGTAGGCATTGAAAAACCTATTCTGAGCCCCAGTTCTTTCTTTTAATCTAGTACTACAACTTTTGCATAAGGCACTTTTTCATCTACTGCATTCACTGCAGTAATGATGCTTTGATGAAGCTAGACTGAATTCCAACTGCAGTCACCAAGAATGTAACGTTTTGTTTATTTTTCTTGTTTTTTATATTAAACTTCTTCATTTGTTTATTTTGAAAATTGCTTGTCCGGCAGCTAAATTTCCTTAAAATGTCTTCGCCTAGTTTGGAGACAAAAATTAATCGCCAAATTCATCACCAACTTAACGAAATATTCATTTATGTCAATGTTAAATAAACTTTTCCCTGTAACCTTATTTTTCAAGTAGAGTTTCATCTCTTTCAAGCATTTCATGTTACATTATACAAAAAGATACTACAATTTTGCATATAATTTCCCTAAAATTATTTACATATATACAAAAATTCGTAAAATAATTACTGTATAATATTCAAACAAAGGATATGTTCTTTTTTCCTAGCTAACATCAGAGTTGCCAACTCTCCCGATTTTCGACCGCTCTCCCGCCGATTTACAATATATTTCTCCCGACTTTTCTTATTCTTAATATTTCTCACGATTTTTATGGAACTTGGCTTAATACTTCGTTATATGAACAAAAAAAAAAAAAAAAAAAAAAAAAAAAAAAAAAAAAAGTGATTTTGGATGTCTGAAAGCAACTGAATTTTCTCTAGATTATATCTAAAATAAAACCTTGCGAATCAGATGAGAATTTCTGCTTTGTGAGTGACAGCATACGTATCCAGAAACGTCGTTCTCCATTTCTCCAATGGGCATCGAGCTCCACTGCGTGTCATCTGGCATATATTAGCCAATGAGCACAAAGCAAGCTCAAGGCCGTTGGCCATTATTTGGATGTTCTTTCGTTATTTCGTTCATCTTGTCCTGAGTTGTGTGTACACGTGCCTTCGGGAAATAGTTTTAGAAATTATCATCTTTTGTCATGTCTGCGAGAAAGGTGAAATACTCGTGCACGTTTCAAAAATTGTACACAGTTTGACTTTCCTTCCATTATTTCCTCAAGGAAATGTAATAAATTTGTGGTGTGTACTGTCTGTCATTACGATTTCTCGATTTCGCGTGGTGGAAGGATGCAGATGTTCTCAAACATGTGCGTACACAAAAACATTTATTTAGAAAAATGTTTCCAAATGCGAAATTGCTAAGAAAATACTCAAGTGCAAGGACAAAGCAGGTGCAATTGTTAAAGAAATAGGTTTGAAATAAATCTTCAGTTATTGATTGCATTAAAAAGCTCCGTTCGCCTCTCTATGGATGGAAGCAATAATACAATTCAAAACTGTATCCAATTGTTGTTCTTTTTTTAATCCAGAGTCTTAAGAAATTGAGTGAAGTTTACTTTCTGTCCCCACTTTAGAAGGACATTCGACAGGCTTTAATATAGCACAGCTAATTATTAAAACTTTAAAAGAAAATGCAGTCCTCTGGATAATTGCTTAGCACTTGGTGCCGATAATGCACGAGTAATGGTAGACTTGAAGACTGGTGTTGCAGGCATCTTAAGAAAGGCAAATTCAGATTTGCAGATTATGAGGTGCACCTGTCACCTCTTAAATTTAGCAGCTGAAAAAGGGCAGCTTCTTTACCAAAATGTAGATGAACACATTGTTGATATTATTATTTCAAAGGGTCTAAAAGAAAGGAAAAATTGAAACAGTTCCAACAGCTGCATAATACTGAAATGAGAAAAATTTTGAACGGTGTACACAGTGGCTGTCTTTAAAGAATGTTATCTAGAATCCTCGATCATGGAACCACTCTTGCATTTTTTAAAGAAGAATAAATGCTTCGAGAGTTAAGATTAAAGGCTCTATTGAAGTTATAAAAGTACCTAAAGTAAATGGAGATTATTTACTACTCCATTGCTAAAAATAGGTTTGAGAAAAAAAGTAATTTCTTCAGCAGCATTTCAACTGGCAGTTCTCAAAGAATGCAAAATATAAGTGTAAAGCTGATACAAATTTCTCTCAAAATAAAAAAAATTGATCAACACAAAACATTTTCTGATTATTGTAAGTTTATCTTGTGAATATGTTTTTTTTTCTTAGGACCTTAACAAAGATTTTCCTTTTTTTTTTTACCAATTCATTTTGCCATCATTCGAGTTCTTAACACAATTCTACAAAGCAGAATTCCATTAATTCATTTTTGCAATCAATGATTTATGATCTGTTTAAAGACATTTTATCAAAGTTGTAAAACCAGTCGTGTTTTGTCTTGTAATTCTATATTGTGTGATTTATGGTGAAAAAGAAATCAGAAGAAAGATGAAGATTTGGTAATGGAGCTGCAACTAACAAAATAGTGGAATAACTTTCAGAAGAAGACAAAAATAAGTTTTATCTCATGTTAGAAGTACTTCTGTCGAGGATGTGATTACACACTACATAAATTCAGTCAACGATGAATGATTTTGCATGCTAAATTTGTGATGGTTCTGCTCTAGCAAATGCATCTTTTCTTATAAGGTACTTTTGAACAGATTTCCTGTGTTTACTTTCGTGTAGTCATGAAAGATGATGATATTGATGTTGCTACTGATATACTGCAGTGGCAATTTTGCAGTTTACAATTAGAAAACTTGGATGAAGTTGTAAAATCAGCTAGGATTGACACCTAGTGGAGTTTTTATTGGAAAACTGAAAGGTGCTGATGAAATCTTAAAATATAGTGAACTGTCTAGAATTATGTTGGCTATCTTGACAGTTCCCTCATTAGTAATGCGGAGTGTGAGAGGATTTTCAGTATTGTTGCGAAAACGAGACTAAATTTAGGTATAATATTAGTGATGACACATTAGAAAAACTTTTTAGAGAAAGCAGGCCTAGGTGGCAATTGCTATGAACAAAATTATGAAGTTTTGTTCTTAACGAAAGCAAAATCTGCCACTGTTCATAACAATTTTATGAAAACTAATTAAAGTGATTTGGTATTTAAATAGCTAATGTTAAACGTTGAATTGTAAATTAAATGTTTTTTTGTCTAGGTATTTTTGTGTTGCTTGCAGTTAAGACTTAGTAACTATTTAAAGTTAATTCATTATTAAAAACTATATTTTTATCATTTAAAAAGTCTTTTTAACATGAGTGTCATAAGTTGGCAAGTATGCTAACATAAATATTCTCTGTCCACCTAAAAATGTTGTCCTTTGTCATTCACATTTGAAGTATTTAAAATATATGAATAAGTCGTATTCTATTTGCATTGAGGTGTCAATTAATAAATAAAGTGGAATAATTTGAGGTTGATCCCCCCTCCTGTAAATGCCATTCAGTGATGTTATTTTGTGAGATACTAGGGTCTTTAATTAAAAATTTATTACATTTGGTATGTCCAAAGAATTTTTAGAAATTTTATTACTTCTGTATCATGATCTAGTATTGTACAAATATGTTTTATTTTAAAATTAATGTAAATAATATTATGAGCTGGCTATGTGTCAGTACTGAAGCCTGCTAGTATTTTAACATGAATTTGTAAGGTCATGTAAATATGATCTCTGTTTTGAAAACAATTATATTATTTAATCAAATTAATTGTTAAAATAATAATAACTAAAATGTTTAAAGAACATACTTTAAATTCCTATTTAAATAGAATGATTGTGAAAAAACAGTATTTGATAATCAGTCTTTTCAAACTTGACCAGTGATGTCATAATAGCTAAAAGTTTTCTATCAGTCAAGATAAAGCTAGAAATTGTCTTTAAAAAGTGACCTCCCTGCCATTTCAAATGTCCCCTCTGCCCGTTGCTTGCACATACTTTGCTCTTTGTCTGGAGCTAACAACCGATCTGCTATGGAAACATTTTGTGCAACAGAACAGCATAAACTCAAGCTAACAAAAACTGCAACAGTGATTGTAAACTTCGTATTATCATTTAGCTTTTTTTTCATTTTTATATATATCAGAAAAATGTTTGTGAGCTACATATTGTATTACCATGCAAAATTTGAAAAACTGTGTTTAAAAGAAAGTAAAAACATGCAATACAAATGAAAATGTTTAAAGATTACCGTTTGCTATTTTTAAATTGCTCAAATGATAATCTTAATAACAACCTATGTGCTCATTGAAATTCTTGCAGAATTGAATTTTGTAATTTTAGATTTGTGGAAAATGTGTAATGGGGGAGTAACAAAAATGTTTCTAAGTAAAATT